AACAAAAATGTGAAACTTCACATTTCTTAGTATTTTTGTTTGTTATCTTATCTGGGTGTTCGATCGGTAAATAATATGTGATAATAATGAAGTCCATTATATTTATGGTCTGATGTTTGCGTAGGCTACTACGTCTGTACGCAGACGGTGATTTGGGGTTTCGCGAAAAGAGCAGTTTTAACAAACCACCCCTAAACCATTTCTTGACTATTTACTTAGCGTGATGTAGCACCGAAACTAAACCCTTGTACTGTTAGGTGTCACTTCGACGCTCCCAACCAAGAACTCGGTAATGTGCTATTATCGGGTTTATGCTGTTATGTCAATTTCGGCGCGTATGGACTTGAATACACCTTGACAATTTTTCTCAGATTTTTCCTAATAATAGTTACAAAGATATCATGACGCACATGTTTATTGTTGGGAATTAATACACAATAATATCTCGGCAAAAAACATGTTATACATCTGTACGAAAAAACAATTTATATTTTATTTTGGTAAGTTGCGATTACCGGGTTATTGCCGTAAATAATTTTCATGAAGATTTAGGTAAACGTGTGTACGGGGTTTTTGTTGAATTCATTGTAAAATACGTATTCCGTAATACACACTAACAATGTTATTGAAGATTGGTATTGGCTCATTAATGTACGTAATATTTTATATTACGTACATTAATGAGCCAAAGTTATTGTGGTAATTTAAATAATATTTGAAATTACCACAATAACTCCGTAAAAACACGTTATGTATCAGCCCCACGATAAAAAAAACCCCGTAGAAGTCCATAATATAATGTTATGAAATATTTCATTTGATAAATTTACTGCAATAATCCCGTAAGTACTATTACCATAATATTTTATGTATAAAATTTTAGGTATTATTTATTTTCCTAAATTACTAGGTATTTAATAAAAGGAATGTCATTTTAATGGCACAGGTATATTCCGCAAAAAAATAGCTTTCATTTAACACATCAATGACTTCAATAGTCCCACTCGTTGAAAAGGTATTTGATAAAATCAGTAAATCTTTTCTCCTGTAAAATTTTGATTTATCGATTACTGGGTTATTGTTTGGAAGCGTCGACTTATAAATTGGTGAAAATAACATTGTCGCTAAATGCCTCATACCTTAGGCACCTTTTGCGAAGCTAAGGAGGACCTTAGCTAGCATGACTGCTTCGCAAAATGTGAAAAAATGAGTGAATGCAATAGTAAAAAAATGGCGTTCCTTAAAATTTAGAAGAAGTCGATGGAAATGGTCATTTCTTATCTTACAATTTGAAAAATATGTCTTTATTGTTGAAATTAAACGTATATTTTTTACAAGTTGTTAGGTAGTTCAAAATTGCTTTGGAAACAGAAGTGTTTTATTTCTCAATTTACTCAAACAGCCTTTTAGAAATTGCATATAAATAAAATTGAGTTTTATTGCAATCGGATGAACGATAATAAAAATGTTATATGCATAATTCTGTAGGAATTATATCGTTTCCTTACGATACGCGCTCCGCCTCCTCCTTAGGTAGCATGACTGCCTCGCGGGAGGAGACGTTGTCCAAGTCCTCCTCGCTCCGCACCATGGTCAGGGGCTTCCTCAAATCTGATTCCGATCGATCGACATTGGTATTGTGAACATCTGCAACTCATAACCGATCACATTTTTTGATCAGACCACCATATTTTAGAAAAGCATGAAATAAGGCTTTATTTCTGTTTCATCGTATGAGTGAAGTTACCGGAGACCCAAGTTACACCTGTCCCTAATCTCCGAATCCCCAATCTTCAAATTTCTAACCACCAAAAGAGGCAATGCACTTCTAACGCCTCTGGTGTTTCGGGTGTCCATGGGGCGCCGCCGATTGTTTATCCCATAACAAGATACTTTATTGACAGATTATTTTTTTTTAAGGGGGGGAAAATCATCGAATGTCTTCTCCCCGCCTGGGTGAGGCGGGAGGGAGTGTCAGACTCTTACTGACTAAAATAAAAACCACCCCGTTCCTACTCCTGCACTTCGAGCCGTAGCCCCGGCAACTCGTTAAGTTCTCCGCGGCTCCGTATCGGCATCGGCCCTATTTGACCCCATCAGTGATGTTCTGATGGCTCTTTGAAATTTTTTAGGTTGTTGATTAATTATACTAAGTTTTATAGTTGCATATGACAACTAGAAGGTCATCCGTCAGCTATAGATAAGTTCGCACCATCACAAATGAGTCACTATTGGTATTTCTATTTACTATCAATTTTTATCGCTGTTATCTACTTATCCATCGTAGTCTACAGCTGCTTGTCTGGTCTATACATCGGCTACTATATTTACGTGACTGATATTATTATTTTTTTTATTTCTGTATACTTTTATCTATTATAGGTAGGTAAATAACATTTTTCTGCTTTAGCTTTGTTTTTTTTTTCTTGTTAAACTTGATTACCTGACGAACTGGCTGAAAAAGAGTAACGATGGACTTTCTTGCTTGTTCTTCTCCATAGGAATCTACACTTTGGACAAGGACGTTGTATAATTTAATAATTTATTACTTTCATTCTAATGTAGACAATCTAGTTTCCTTATGGCATCGAGCATTTCTTTCTTTATTGAAACAAGGAGTTTCTTTTTTCTTGTATAGTAGCACTATTTTTATGGATTGTCAGTACCTATGCATATGTGAACACCATGTTAGACTATAAGATTTTTTTTTTTTAATTATTTTAGTAAGGTTTGTAATGTACCTACAATGCGTCAAGCGTGTCTTTGCATTGTTCTCATATATACATACAGTACTGGAATATGTATCAGAGACATTGTAGAACATACTTTTTAAAAAGAGTAACGGATGGAGTTTCTTGCTCGTTCTTCTCCATTCGAATCTACATTTTGGAATGAGCACCTAGCTTCACAGGCGGACTGACTGACAGGCTATTATTTATTTTGTACTAGCGACCCGCCCCGGCTTCGCACGGGTGCAATATGCATGTATTATACATACAAACCTTCTTTAAGAATCACTCTATCTATTAAAAAAAACCGCATCAAAATTTGTTGCGTAATTTTAAAGATCTAAGCATACATACGGACATACAGCGAAAGCGACTTTGTTTTATACTATGTATTGATTTGTTGACGTTTCAAAAGTACCGAACATGGTTTAATTGAAATAAATGCTTTAACTTTGACTTTGGAAAACGGCGGTCATAGTCTCTTGAAACAACGATTGTGGCACCTGGCTACTATAGACTTACACGCAGAATGAAACACATTGACACGAAGGACATCAGTCGCGTGACATGGTCCGTCCTTACACTTCGTACATTACGGTGTTGTTAGTACACGCACACATAAATACACCACTGACATTTTGGTGCTTTTATACCCGAAGGGGTAGGCAGAGGCACTTAATGCCACTGTACAATGCAATACCCGCTTTTCACTATTTATATTATTACTGGCTACTTCCGCGCGGTTTCACACGCTCTGCTCAGCACCTATTGGTCGTAGCGTGATGTTTTATAGCCTATAGCCATCCTCGATATGCGCTATCCAACACAAAAATAGTTATTCAAATCAGACTTGTAGTTACGGAGATTAGCGCGATTAGATAAGATGAGTATGATGTAATGAGGGTGAGCCTATTGCCATATACCGGGCACGATTCCAAACTCCGTGCTACAACAGAGAATTAAAAAAAACAAATAACACTGCCCGGCAGCCGTAATTGCGACCACTCGGCCAACGAGTCTGGAGAATACATGAAAAATAATTTTGGAAAATAAAGAAAAACAGATATTATCTAAGTCTAACACGTCCAGCTAGTTAAGACCAATTAAACATTATTAGTGTACTCCTAAGTAATGAAGTTAGCTACAAGTAATTAGTGGTTCGTTGTTAGGTTCATAATTATCCGTGACTGAAAGGTTCATAACATTTAGCCTGCTTATTATGTTTTCGACTTACTCGTGGTAACTGTTTGACGAGGAACCCGACTAGTTTCAAGCCATGCTAGAGACTCGTATTCATGAGCAGCATTTCACGACCCGCGACGGATAGCGGAATCCAAATCCTATAAGTGTGAGAGAGCTATGCTTCGGCACGAATGGGCCGGCTCGACCGGAGTGATACTATGGCCGAGCAGAAAACCGACGTGAAGCAACGCTTGCGTTGTGTTTCGTCGTGTGAGTGAGGTTATCGGAGGCCCAATTACCCTCCCCTTCCCCAATCTCCCCAATCCCTGAATCCCCAACGATCCTCAAACTGCTAATCCCCAAAAGGCCGGTAACGCACTTGTAAGTCTCTGGTGTTCCAGGTGTCCATGGGCGACGCCGATTGCTTACCATCAGGTTATCCGTCTGCTCGTTTACCGGCTTATGCCATAAAATAAAAAACAAATATATACATACAAACTTTTGCATTTTTAGTAAAGAATTACTCACTACTATATTTTATATGGTACTCACAATTTTACATTTAACTCGTCGAGTACCGGTTTTGTAGACACAATTATAGAATAATAGGTTGCGGTCACCGGTGACCGCTTGGTGTTTGACAGTTTAATGTGCTAAACTCATTCGTGGAACAAAAATTGCAATTACTTCCTATGTATGATTCACAAGTCATAACCACCATTTTGAAGTGCTGTCATAATGTAGTCTCTAGCATACTCGAATGGAAATGTATTTGAAATAGGTCGTATCAATTAATAGACATATTATTAGAATACACATTGTAAGAATGTAAACACTTCAAATGATTGAAATTTATCGAGTGATACATAACATCACGCCTTTTATGTCCGAAGGGGTAGGCAGAGGTGCACTTTATGCCACATTAGTTTCAAGCCATGCTAGACGCGGCGACTGTCGCGCTGCTACTGGAGTAGCGTCGTGGGTCGCGGAATACTGCTCACGAATATGAGCCTCAAGAACTTCTTAAAGAAGAATACTTCACTCTATTTTAACGTTAAAATTCTTAATTTTCTTTCTCATTGTCCACAGAAAAATACCCTCAAATCAAGAAGCTGTTTGGCTACGATCCGAACTTCAAATGGGTGGTGACGGCGATGGTGCTAGTCCAGATCATCTCTTTGCCTTTTGTGACGCAACTCAGCTGGCCTCTGCTGCTGGTGGTAGCTTATTGCTTCGGTGGAGTCATCAACCATTCTCTCATGTTGGGTAAGTTAAGATAACTCTGTAAAGCGGCCTGAACGTACTTGTAACTCCTTTGGTACTGCGGCTGTTCATGGACGTGACCACCAAATGGGGCCGGACGTGACCACCAAATGGGGCCGGACGTGACCACCAATTATCGCAGAAATGTGCGAGCTCCCTCTACGCATTGCAAGAACTTGCGAATTGATTCGCATCGCGCATCAAAATCTTATCTTCCCAAAATATTCTTTGTTTCTTTTTCCTGTATCTCTTAGCAATAACAGAAGTGCACACTTCTTTTTACGATCCATGTCACGACCTAGCTTTCAATTTAAAATACGTTTAGTACGGTTGACGGTCGTCGAAGGAATGGTCACTCTCGGGGACGCCTTGTCGCACGAAATTGCAACGCAGCAATTGAAATCGTAATTTTTGTGTTGCGAATTGCATCGCATCGTTTGTGTACGAATCCTAAAATTGTGAAAAAACAACCGAAACGCGTATGTTAGCTTGTCGGAGGGACTTTTATCTACCAAAGTAAAATCAATTATTGATATGGAATTTGTCTATATAAATTACATAACATAACCTCACGCCTTTTATCCCCAAAGGGATAGGCAGAGGTGTACATTACGGCACTTAATGCCACTGTACAATGTAATAGGGGTAGAGCCTAGTGCCATATACCGGGCACAACTCCAGACTCCGTGCTACTACTAAGAATTTTAAAAACTCAGTTGTACTTTGCCCGACCCGGGAATTGAACCCGAGACCCCTTGCCCGGCAGTGACACTTGCAACCACTCGGCCAACGAGGCAGGCAACTTGTCCTAGAATTAGTAATATTGTTATTCCCTCTCGCCTGTGACACAGGATATTCTTTATTGTTAGTCCCTCTCGCCTATGACACAGGATATTCTTCCTAGTATTGACATTCAAACTTGGCGAGATCTCTGATTTTAAATTATGATGTTTATCTGTACTATGACTATTTTATTACCTATCTATATAAATAAAAATGAATTTCCGTTCGTTAGTGTCACTAAAATTCGACAACGGCTGAACCGATTTGGCAAATTTATGTCTGGAAATGTTTGTGGACGAGAAGGAACTTTTTTTAGGCGGTACGAACTTTACTGGTTCAGCTAGTAATGAATAAAGATTATTATTATATCAGAATGGTGAATATATAATTTTATTTAGCATATTAAAATAAG